ACCCTTTATGAGGCATTAATATAGGGATTTAACAGTGAAATTGCCTCCTACCTCCATCTCCCACATCACTCTATCTTGCCTATTGGGGTAGTGAAAAAAACTGTAAAGGTCATATTATAGCAATGGCATTGAGTCAATGAGCCATCAATTTTCAGATTTTGGTTGAATTTCTGCATTTAAATAAGTTGGGTCTAATGTTTCAGAGATCTCATCAGAACCCACTTAAGAAAATTCATTGTTGCCGAATATTGAGCATTTTTTTTATATTAATTTTTGTGATTCCTAGAATAGATTTATGAAGTATTTTATGTCTCTATATTTTACAGAGATTAACAAAGTAAAATTATATTTGTTCTTACATAACTCTGCAATTTTTATGTTAAGGGGAATTTTACACATTGAAATGCATATTTTGGTTTGTCTTTTCCAATTAAAAATAATTTAGTTGCCAAAAAAACATTTACCAAATAAAAATATTTTTATTTATTTATTTGTTGTTATCTTTCTTAGTCATTGTTCTTTCCACGGGATACATTTTATGTTTTGTGTATGGAACTTGGCCTCTCTCTCACATAAAAAAACCTACTTAATTACTAGGATTACTAAATTGTGATTATTTATATAGTTAAAATAGATTGTATGTATCATCATCGTTATCTGAGCTTGTTTCCCAACTATTTGGGGTCGACTAAAAATAGATCGTATGTATTGCTAATGATGGGAAATGATTTCATGCAACTGTTGTATAGTAATATGATGCAACAACCTTTAAAAACCATCTTATGGCTATTTGTTTGATCCAAAATTTGAAATATACATTCTTTTCAGTCTAATGAATAATCACAAAAAAATAAAAAATTGGTGAGATGCTTAGATCTAGGCCTATAAGGAGTTTTTCATTTCTATTTTTTTTGGATGGCTTTATTATCATTAGACAAACAATATTATAGAATAAAAAAATGATTTTGAGTTTCTAAAGGCAAAGATCTTGAAATTCACAAAATGAATGGTCTAGATTCATTTTAGAGGGGACTCATTTTGACTATATCTAGGGTCCAAATTGAACTTTTTTTTTAGGGAGATTGATTATTGAGATGAAGAGAGTGTGTGTGCAAAATTTGAGATCATACAAATACCACAAACATGATTTTTTAAAAATGTCGTTGCATTATACTATGATACAACAATTGCTTTAGATCATTGCTGATGATATAATAAATTGTATGTATATTTAATAAAATATTTGGTTGGGTCCTTTTATGACATGTGGGATCATGTCAGTTTGGCACCTTAGGCTTGTTTTCAATTACACATACAAAATTCATATGTTTTGCTTTATGAAGTGTGAGAAAGAAATTGAGTTTGGACAAAAGAAAGGATCTACTACTGTAACAGATTCCTGGCGCATCAAGGAACACCGTTACTTGGTGTCCCTAATTGGTCATTCTCTTTCTTCACCCTAATTAATCATACTTTCTTTGCAAGTCCACTGTACAATGAAGCGGTGGGATTACAAGTGGTTTTTTTTGGGAGTTCAGCAGTAGGAATCAAACTTGAGATGTAGCTTTGGTCCATGTAAGCGGCTAATCACTCATGCCTAGACCCCGTACTTAAGATCGTATGCGGTTGAATTGTGAAGAACTCATATATTACCTATAACATATATGATGTGGAATGTGCCCATAAGTTGCGCCGGGCCATTCATTATGTGAGTTGGGATTACATTGATCACATTTATGCTAGTTGGTGTCGATTCCATCAGCTATGCCCATTATATGAATTGGGGTCTCCAATCCTAATTCGTGTAACCATGAAAAACTATTATTTGAATTTCAAGTTCGGAAAATAGTGCATCTTGTAATACATTATTTAGATCAATTTTCAAGATTTTAAAGTGTTCATTAATCTAATTGATCTACACTATTTTTTAAGCTTTAAATTTTATAAAGGAAAGTATAGAATGAGACCATTTTCTTTTGATACAAGGTAGTTACATTAATCTTGACCATTGGATGTAAAATTGGGTGGATGTAATTATTCTATTGAACAATCTCAAACATCAAAATAAATTTTCTCGAACTTTATGACACATCCAAGCTATCAAATTTCACACTAAATGGTTGTAAGGAATTGTGACTACCTTGCATCAAAGATAAATGGTCTCATTGTATACAATCCGATTTTATAATTAGAGATGAAAATAAATTTCCAAGCTATCATAGAAATTTTTGGTATTCAAACATCTTTGAACACTATTTGAATATGTGCCTTAGTTTGATTCTTTAGGGCCCCGGCCTTATACAAACCGCAACCTTATTTGAATTAAGATCACATCTATTAGATAAATTCTACCAAATTGTACGAATTGAAGTGAATAAATTGTATTACCAAGTCGTATGATTGAAATAAAATGAGAAACTTGTATTAGCAAGGTGTATGATTTTGAATTTATAAGAAAAATGCATACTATTGTCTTTATATTAAGTGAGCATTTGAGAAAGTATTTCATTAGAGAACCAATTCACCAATAAATAATACAATTAATTGAAACATGATATATGATACCAATTTCAAACTATATATGGGTGATACAAACCATCAATGTTGTTAATATACTACAAATGGACTATGATTTAAATCACAAGTTTTTATTTTTTTTAAACCCAAATGCCCAATATGAGGGTTATGTTGTATTTTGACAACGTAATTACATGACACAAATTTTCAGACTTTTAAGGGCACACTTGTTTCTCATGAGAAATATTTTTACGTGAAAGAATTATCTCATGTGGTTAGGTGTGAAACACCAATTAATCCCATGGCATTTTTCACATTAATTGGCAGTTAATTGATGTGAAAATATTCCCACATTTAGCCATATGAGAGAATTTTTTCACATAAAAATATTTATCGAGAAACATTTTCATGCAAAACAAACTTGCCCTAAATGCAAAATATCATGATCTATGAAGCTTTCACTTGTAGGGAAGTGGAAAAAGGGGTTAGATTTTTGCCCCATTTTTTTTTTTGTTGGAGTCAAAGAGCCTTATGAGACTTTATTTAGATTGTGGGACCCTCAAAGCCAACCATTCATGTTACAGTAGGCCCTCTAGCAAGTTAGGGGGCCTTAGAAATTGGAGGTTTTAGAAGGCAGTGATTCGATCTGAGTGTAAGTTGAACCCTGATTTACTTTTTTATAATAAGTGGATGGGGTATTTATTAAGGAAAAGCTTTACATGTGACCTCACCCACATATATATATATATAAACTTTGCTCTTAATCATCATATTTGACTGTATATATGAGATGGCTTCAATCACAATGACACAAGTTGGCACTTGAGCTTTAAATCTTGATTCGATAGCTCATAATGTTATATTTTTAATTTTTATTCTATAAATCATTTTGCTGTGAAATTTGGGCTATGCATGCATCGGGGTGCACTTGATAGAAATAATAAAAAATACAAGAATACCCCCAAAACTTCTAGGGATATTTTTGTTGGCTATTTTTATGATAAATATTTTATTTTATTTTATTTTTGCTAGGTGTGTCTCATATGAAGATGAGACACCCCAAATTTCACTCGACAATGTTTTATTAAAAGAAATAAAAAATCAAACAGTATTTGGTGTAACATAAGCAATCCGAGTCGTCCATTCAACTAAGAAGTGGGTTCACATGTATTTATATGTGGGTGGGGTCACATATAAAGCTGTCCCATTTTTTTTTTTTTTTTGACAAAATTATAGTGAGATTTGTATGAGGAGCCCCCCTTATACCATAAAAGTAGGGTGTACCTCCAAAATTTGCTTGGAGATGCAGTTTTGGTGTCGGAAATCTTATGATAGCTTGATAATTTATTTTTATCATTAGTTATGGAATTTAAAATTTTTAAAATAACAACATATAAGCATATCTATATATACTTGAAAATCTTGAAATAAACCGTACAAATAACTTGTTACAATATGCATGATTTTGAAGACCTGAAATTTCTTTTTTTCTACATAGATTTTTTTTTTTTAAAAAAAAATGCATCAATTGAAAGGTTCTCCAAGATAAAAAAACTCTCTTTTGGAAGATTTTTAATGTGCACCATATATAAACTTTTTCATCCACCAATTTAAAACACAGCTTACTTTTTAAAAGTGGGCCATCGATCACAAAAATAAGAACATTTTGTAAATATTTTACAAAATGTTTACAAAAGGTTTTAGTGGTCTCAATGTCTAAGCGAAAAAGCTTTGATCTGAGTTTTGGCCGTGTAGCAGGTGCCAACGCGGGGTGTCATTTCATAAATTGCTTTCATTCCTTTGTCGCGGCGTTAATCAATAGGTGCAGGGCACTTCACAGGTAAAGCAAAGAAAGGGACGTTTATAGCATGTTCCCGCGAGAGTACATTGTATAATACCGTTTTGGGTGGAACTTACAATCCTCCACTTGACTTCTACATATGATTATTTGAAAATAAAGTATATAATGAAATAAAAAATGATCTATTTTTGATATAAAAAAATCATAATTATTATCAACCATTTTATGTGAAATCAGGTAGAAGTGGGTATCTCTTGAGTTGGTATAAAGCTCGAAATAAAATCGATTGAAGTATTTATTTAAGTGTAATTATGAGTTCTACATCAAAAGTGAATGGTCTTACAATATACAATCATATTTAAAAAGCTTTACATTTTAAGTTTTTATTGTTCAAATTGTCTAAGAAAACCATTTGATGATGATGATGAACGCTTAAATTGTCTTAAAGTAGATAGTCTCCATTCACAGTCTCGCAAATTTTTTTTGGTAGAGTTTGAAAAACTCACCTCCTAAAATTTGAGAATGTTCAACTTTTGTATTGAGCAAGACTGGGAACGATTCTGTACTCTTAAAAAACAATCATGGTGGGGGAGTAGCAAATGAAGGACAAACTCCCGCGGGAGCATGAAGCTCATCGAGAAATTCCAAATGAAAAAGGTTAAGAATAACGTAAACTGCAAAGTGAGCAAAATCAGAGAGCTTGCGAATAGAAGCAAAGAGAAGGGATCCATTCTCGTAATCCGTCCGAGTTTTGAAGGTACGGAGAGCGAGTCAAGGGAAAATCCATCTCTGCAAGTTTCAGAGGCGAGAAGAAAATCAAAGGAAACCAATCTATGATTGTTTTGGATATAAGAAAATTCAAGGGAAAAGGGGTTCCGTTCCGTTATTTCTGGTTAGGAGAGGAGCACCGGCTACTGTAATGGCGGAGAATGGTGGCGTGCATCTCCTTTCCATACCTAATGCTAACGGCGCTGATGGAGATGACGAGAGAGATGAAGAAGAAGAAGAGGAGGAGGAAGAGGAGGAGGAGGAAGAAGATGAGCCGAGGCTTAAATACCAGAGGTTGGGGGGGAGTATCCCATCTCTGTTATCGAGTGATGCGGCATCCTCCATTGCCATCTCTGAGCGTATGATCGCCCTCGGCACACACGATGGGACGGTGCATATACTTGACTATCAGGGCAACCAGGTTTTCTTCAATTCCTCTCCTCTCCTCTCCCATTGATTTCTTTGTATTTTCAATCCTTTATATCTGTCAATTGAAAGAAATAAGTGATTCCAGAGCAACTGGGGTCGTCTTTCTATCTCTGCCTTTGTAATTATCAGCACGATTATCTCTTGATATCTGCATCATCATTGAAGAGGCTTGCCAATTTCTTGAATGGTGTGTAGCTGCCTGCTTTTGTTGGGGTTGGATGATGATTTTGTAAAAATCTCTAGTTTTTGTGTGCATAAATCGAGCGATTGGTTTGAGAGAAGGCAATAATGCGGCTGTTTAGCTGTGGTTGATTTTCCCTATCTTATTTGTTCGACTTGTTACATGGCTTGGGGCTCTGTACTCAATTCCATCACTGAACTCCTGAACTCCTGAAAGTGTTGTAGATAACTGATAACCTCCCAATATATCTAGTGTCCCTTTGTTTAAAGAAAAAGGAAAAAAAGAGAACGCAGGACTGCGAGGTCCTTAATGTCAGCAGTTCCATTTTTTTATGTGGATATAGAAGTGGTGGATATTGTTGGTATTGGCCGAATCATGGTATGTTTGGGTTCACCTATTTTGAACCATCCTGCTATTTATTTTAGTGGCATGCCCTCCAGTGTCTATTGATGATGAAACGAATTGTATCTAATTTAACTGGTGGTTTAAAACAAGGACTAAGGCTCGGACTCACTAGGGTCCAGAGCCTAAGTCATCGTGTCATGCCGGACCAAGACTGGCAAAAAGATTCAAAACAAGGAGAAATTGATATGAGTCTCTGGTTTTGTGCTTAGGACTCGCCTAAGTCTCTGGCACAGCTGACTCGGGCAAGTCCCAAGTCAGCTCAGCGATTTTTGACGCACCGAGTTGAACATTCTGGTGCTAAACTTCTTCTCTAGTTGGCATAACTTTGTCTATTCTGTATTGTGTGTAGCTGATATGCTTGTGGTGTTGCTCTGTCTTCAATATCTTGCAATCCATTAAGTGATGCTCATCCTATCGTAAGAATTTGGCATTCAAACAATATGCATCAGCCTAATGGCAACATTACCTATGAAAAAAATAAAGCTTCTGCCTGGTTATTCTTATACTAGGATGAGCAGGAAGAGGGAGAGGGGCTCACCTTGATGAACACGAAATCAGCTAATTGAATCAGTGTTTTAAAACAAGGACTTAGGTTGGACTTGCTAGGGTTCTGAACGTGAGTAGGTCAGAGTCTGCTGGAGACGTGGCTGTGTCCAATAAAAAAATATTGGGGCTAGCCAGACTCAGGCTGCTTCACATGGTTTGCTTCTGGATTTGTTTGTCCAAGTCCAGACTCAATATATTGGACACCTTCAAGTAGGACTCACAGAGTTTTCCCATATTGACTTGAACAAATATGCTATAATTTGTAGTTCAGCTTTTTGGACCACTCTTTCTTGTTTTGTCATCTGGTTGAGAGAAACCTTTTTAGTTATTTTTGATACTTTAAGGTAATCATGGCTTATGAGAAAAATTGATACCAAAATATAATGGCTGAGGTCTAGGATGGACCAGAGGGACTCTTCCATGCTTTTTAACAGGCCGATGCCTAGGTGAGATGAGTAAAAGACAGAGAGGCAAGAGAGAAATCTTGAATTTGGCTTTAGTTGCAGCTGACCCCACTGTGGTTTATTTCCCGAATAATGGCACCACTCTTAGACGCTCTACCAGACACGTCTCCACCCCACCCTACTCCATGTCAATCTTGTCTTGGAATATTAGGAGTTTGGGTCACCCCAACAAACATAATGCAGTACGAGATCTCTGCCTTACGTTGCGCCCAACTATCTTGGCGCTTACTGAAACTAAACTTCCCTTCCCTTCTCTTCTCTTCAACAAGTGCACCAAATTTGGGGGCGCAAGCCCTGCCAATGGGAAGCTTTCCCGGCAGTGGGGGCTTCAGGAGCGATTTGGGTCATGTGGGACCCAATTGGCCACTCTCTCATCTTTGCCTATACAAAAGTCTTCTCCGTCAAGGTGGCCCTTGCTAGGGTCTCAGATGGTCTCCAATGGAAGTTGTCTGTGATTTAAGGCCCTAATTCTGAATCTTCAAGACCTCAATTATGGGAAAAAGTGGACCATGTGGCCTCCCTCCCACACCTTGCTTGGTGCTTAGGTGGTGACTTTGTCACCCGTTGGTCCATTGAACGCAATTCCTATTGCACCATTTCCCAAGGGATGCTAGATTCTCCAATTTCATAGCCAGGAATAATCTTTTAGATATTCCTTTGCAAGGTGCTCACTTTACTTAGTCCAATCACTCAACCAACCCCTCTCTTTCCAAACTTGACCGCTTCCTTCTTGGCCTTGATTGGGACTCTGTTTTTCCGGGGTCCCATGCGTTTGCCCTTCCTAAACCTACCTCGGATCACTGCCCCCTCCTCTTGGATACCCACATTGCCTCTAGAGGTCCCAAACCTATTTGCTTCGAAATGTCTTGGATGGAGGAATCGATCCTGAATTCCTTAATCTTGTCCTGGTGGAATTCCTTCTCCCCTATAGTCTTTGATAGGGCTGGTTACAGGCTACAATGCAAACTACAACTCCTTAAACTCTCTCTTAAAGATTGGAATCGCCAGCTACCAGGAAACTTCAACACCCTAAAGTCATCCACTCTCCTCTCTATCAAAAGTATAGATGATGCCAAGGAAGTAAGACCCTTGTTGGACACTGAGAAACTTCAGAGCTCACAATTGAAACTTCAGTACCAAGCACCTAAAAAAAAAGACATTTTTTGGCACCTAAAGTCTAGGATGAAGTGGCTTCAACTTGGGGACCTAAACATGACATATTTTCATGAGATAGCCAACTGCAGTCTGCAGGTGTCGGGATATCAGGATTTCATGCATTAAGATCAGAGAGAGATTTTACAACCAGCCAGCCGAAGTAGAGGACGCTATTCTTTCGTATTTCAGACAACTCTTTTTGCTACCTCTGGCCCTAGACTGAGGATGGCGGACCTTTCCTTTCTTACTGTCCCCTCAATGGCTGGAGTGACCCTTCCCGGAAGAAGAAATCATCTCCACTATCAATAACCTCAGCTCTGATCATGCACTGGGCCTGATGGTTTCCTGGTGGCCCCATTCAAGGCCTTCTGGCCGACTTTTAGACATAACTTTTTTTCTCTCTTTGAAGAATTCTATTTGAGGGGCAGTATCTACAAAACTATGAATGCCACTTCATCACCCTTGCACCCAGAGTAGAAAGGGATGAGGAGCTGAAGGACTACGACCCTATTAGTCTTATTAACTCTTCTTATAAGATTTTATCCAAGGCCCTGGCCACCCGCCTCAGTGAGGTCTTGTCTTGGGTGATCTCCTCGTCACAAGGGCCCTTTGTCAAGGACCACCAGATTTTGGACGGGTCCTAGTTGCTCATTGCTCATGAATGCATACATTCAAGACACCTCTCCAAATCCCCTGATATTATCATCAAGCCCGATTGGGAGAAAGCTTATGACCATGTCGACTGGGGTTCGGGGAGCGTTGGAGATCTTGGATGAGAGGCTGCTATTCCAACCCCCATTTCTTCATCCTTATAAATAGATCCCTGAAAGGATTCTTTCCTTCCTCTAGGGGTCTCAGACATGGAGACTCCCTGTCCCCCTTTCTGTTTGCCATCGTCGCTAAGGTATTTAGGAGGTCCATTTCCTGCTTGTTCCAGATGGGTTGGTTGAAAGGATTCAAGTGTGGACCTCAGTCCCCTGAGGTCACCCACTTGCAATATGTAGATGACACTCTTGTCTTCTGTGGAGCCTCCCATCAGGAATTGATGTCCTCCTCCTTTTCCTCATGTGTTTTGAATTGGCCATGGAGTTCAAGGTCAACCTATCCAAATCTAAGATGATTGGGGTGGCCTTAGACCTCCAAACTACTCAACAGTTTGCGAATTCCTGGGGATGCCAAGTAGAAACCCTCCCTTCCACATATTTGGGCCTGCCCCTCAGTGTGGGCAAACCGAAGGAGAGACAATGGTCCCATATTATAGACAAAGTAGATCGGAGACTGGTAGGGTGGAAGGGAAGATACCTCTAACAGGTAGGAAGGACCACCCTCATAAAGGCTACACTATCCAACATCCCAGTGTACCAAATGTCATTATTTTGTATGCCAGCAGCTGTGAAGCAAAGTCTCGAGCAACTCATGAAGCATTTCCTATGGTCCAAAGATGTTACCAGCCGAAAGTTCCACATTATCTCTTGGGTGAACGTGTGCGAGCCTAAAAGACTTGGTGGCCTCAGTGTACGGGATTTGAGCAAGCATAACATAGCCCTACTTGGAAAGTGTTGGTGGCACCTTACTACCCTTGAGAACCAGTTATGGATCTAGGTCATAGGCCAAAAATATCGCCTCAACCAGTCCGACTGGGTGCCGCACTGTAGAGCAAATAGTAGGGCCTCAGGGGCTTGGAAATCCATCTCTCCTCCTGGTCTTTGTTCAAAAAACGTTTTTTGATTCCACCCCAGGGAAGGGCGATGAGTTAAATTCTGGTCGGATGTTCGGATCGAGCACACCCCCTTAAAAGACTTCTTCCCATCCCTTTTTAGCCTCACCCTAAATCAGTCAGCTAGTGTGGTCGATGAAATGGTAGTTTCTGGATCCTCTCGAAACTGGAATCCCTCATTTTGTAGGTCTCTTACAGACCTGGAAATGATGGATTTCATCCATCTGTCCTCCATTCTCCATTCTACTTTCATTGCTATCCAGGAACCTGACTACATCCTTTGGTGCCTTTCACCCAAAGGGACCTTCTTGGTCTCATTCGTTTTCCATAAACTTCTTCAACCACCCACCTTTCCTGTCACGCCCCTAGAATTTACAATACTGATATTCCTGAGATGTGACTGTCAAAACATATATACATCTCTTTTTAGGACAAATTTACAATGGTGA